AAGAATACAAATTAAACCATAAGAATAGATAAAAAAAAATAAAGCCAGACAAAATTAAACAGAGAGAAAGTTTTGAAGACAGGGCCATTTGGAACAAATATTTCTCGGTTGGGAATGACAGTGTGAGAAAGACCATAGCAATAAAGATAGAAGACAAGACTTATGTTTGTTATGAACCTAAAAGCCAGAGAATGAGAATTTTAAAAATTGATTTGCCAGTTGGAAAAAAAATGGAATATTTCAGAAATTAAAGTTTTTATGCAATGAATGATCAGTTTTGCTAAATAAAGAACATCATTTGGACTGTTTGAAAAGTTTTGTCTAAGACCATTGCAATGTCATATGGGATAACAGAAGAATTCCTACTGAGTTTATTTCATATGACATAAGCCTGAAGGTTTTCAACTATTCTTCAGTTTTGAACAAGATTAACATTTTTAGTAAGATGTGCTTATATAAATGTGCAGCTTTCTGAAAATATTCAAGAGCAGTATTGTGTTATTTCATTTATGTGAGGACATCTAGTTGCTCAAACACAAGAGATGTCCAGTAGTTGTTTCTCAATGATAATATCCAAAATATGATGGTGACCAGTGACTATTATGTTGAGATGCTGACTCATATTTATTCTATTTCTTTTTGTTTGGAATAGCAGTCATGTGATAAGTATTTTCTCTTCACATGTTATGCTTCCATAGGATTTGTATCATGTTTAAAGATCATTTCATGGGGAAAAAAAAAAAGTAAACTTAAAAGAAGCCATATATATATATAAACTTTTCAGGACAAAAGGGAGGAAACACAAATCACACACACACACACACACACACACACAGAGAGAGATAAGATTTTAAATTTATTTAAAAATAAAATAGATTATAAAATAAAATCTACAAAGCACTCAAAGACCATTGTTATGTTAATCTTAAAAGTTACATAAGGCAAGGTGTATTAAATCCAACACAGTAGATCATGAAATAGGAAACAGTTCTAATAATATCTTCAAATATTACAGTACCTGTGGTTACACTCATTTTACCTTGGCTGGTATTCACATTGATCCGTGAAGAAAAAAAAAACAGATATTATGATTTTTCTAATTTTTTCAGTGGCAAAACTAACATCCACGAGTGGTCATTTTTAAACATCACATAGGGGATTCCTGGGTGGCGCAGTGGTTTGGCGCCTGCCTTTGGCCCAGGGCACGATCCTGGAGACCCGGGATCGAATCCCACATCAGGCTCCCGGTGCATGGAGCCTGCTTCTCCCTCTGCCTGTGTCTCTGCCTCTCTCTCTCTCTCTCTCTCTCTCTCTCTCTCTCACTATCATAAATAAATAAGGAAAAATAAATAAATAAACATCACATATTTCCATGATGGAAAATAACAAAATATGCTGAATCTGGTGTGTTTTGTGTCCCCAAGGTAATTTTGCCAAGGTTACAAATCAAGTGACAGAAATTATATTTTGATCGGTTGCTGTCCACCATATACAATTTTTCTTGAAATCACATCCATGATAGGATTTCTCCTGTCAAAATCAATACTTCTTCTCAAAACAAAATTATCAAGATTGGCTTTAAGACATTTTATTCAATTCAGTAAAGATTTATTGATAGCTTAGGATGTTCAAGTTAGATGTCTAAGACATTGTGATAAATTAAAAATCAATCTGTTATCTCCACTTCTCTAATATCACAAGGATCCATAAGTTAATAGATTAAGTAATTATTCATAAATTGCTAATAATATAAGGCAGGTGTGTATAAATCGTACCATAAATATTCAGACAAAGTGCTATAGGAGTGAGGTTGATATAAATGAAAAATTTATTCTGATGAAAGTGATATGGGGAGCACATCTTGAGTCACATAGTATTTGATAATGGCATTGAAATGATATAAATGTGGACAAGAAGGGCAGAGGATGTGTAAGACATTCTTCAATGGTTCGACTCAAGTGAAAATTTCAGAGATTTGAGATTATATTCAGATAATTCACCACCATGTCATCTATCCACAAAATTTCATAGGATATGTTGAGCAAAAAACACAGTATAAACCATGAGATTTTTTTTAATTCCACTGTAGTTAATATACGGTATTATATTAGTTTCATTTCTACAGTATAGTAATGCCACGGTTCCATATATTGCTCACTGCTCATCATCTATGGCCATATCACACTAAACATGCCCCATCTCATCTGATCTCACAGGCCTGATTAGTACCTGAATGGGAGAGAGAAGTATTCTGATCAAATAGTTACAGACAGATATATATGGGAGAAGACACATCAAATAACCACGAGTGCCCATTTGGAGAGAAAAAAAAATGTAAATTATATGGTGAAGGTATAAACTGATAACAGTTAATTGTCAACAAAATATTATACCAACCAAAATCAACAGTTATGTGATTGCCTTGAAACATAAACTGGATGAACTCTTTATCTCAGATCTGTATTTTTTCTGCTAAAAATGAAAGAAGACTTTTATCTGACATCATTGAGTCCTCGTTTTAATAGGCATCATTGTAAAATGCATAGTCATTTATCTTTTCTTAACCATGAGGCAAAAATACATCTTTTTGAAAAATTGAGCATAAATCAGAAAATATTGGATAGCTGCATACTTGACAATTTAAGGAACTTGGAGGCATTTCAGGACCTTAGATAACTATGTTCCACATCTTCTGATTTATCTCTAAAGATGCATTAGTCAGAGGTATATTCCTTTTTTTTTCAGATTTTACATACTTTATAAAATTGTAATCAATCTCATAGAATTAAATTGTAGTTTTCCAAAAAAAGTGATGTGAAATTTAGAATTTAATGCTAAAGAACAGAAAAATATTTGTGTCTTTTAAATGTTATAATATGAACTCTTCATAAATAACAAGTGGCTTCCATAGTATTTGAATGTTCTATGCTGATATTTCTTGAATCTTTTTTGATTTTACTTAAAAACAAATGATGTTTTTTTTCTTAAGCTCCCTTGCATGGTCACATGTTTCCTAATTAATATGGTCACTTCTCTGTCCAGTAACTATTTTGGCTCTCTTGTCCAACGACATTAAACCCTCTTTCTGAGGGAAAAAAAAAAAAAAAAAAAGAATTAATCTAGGGACGCCTGGGTGGCTCAGGGGTTGAGCATCTGCCTTCAGCTGGGGGCGTGATCCTGGAGTTCCAGGATCAAGTTCCACTTCAAGCTCCCTGAGAGGAGTCTGTTCTCCCTCTGCCTATGTCTCTGCCTTCCCTCTGTGTCCCTCATGAATAAATAAATAAAATCTTAAAAAAAAAAAGAAAGAAACCCTCTTTCTGACATCAAAACCCTGAATAATATGGTCACATGTTTCCTAATTAATTTTTGCCTCCCTTAAATCTACTGTCTGCATGATTTCTAATCAGATTATTTCCCATCTCATTTTTAGTATAGGTCAAACCTACTTGTGCATTTGGTCATCACAAACACCTATTCCAGTGGTCTCTCCTATCTGAATTTTTCCAATTATTCAAGACCTCGTTCTGTGTCAGTAGGCCTTTTTAACCAGATTTATAAACTGACTACTGTAAGGAAGGGACAGCATACTTAAATATTTTCTTCAAAATATATAGTTGCCTTCAAGAATCTTATAGTTAAGTCAGAGCAGATCAAAAGAATAAATCAGTGAGTCAGCTAAGAGATTTTTTTCTGGTGGAGGAATTCTGTAGAACGGAGGTGATGGCAAGACAAAGCCTTGTGTCTAGGAGTGGCTGTATTGTAGCAGTCACAAGGTCCATTCTCAGGCAGGATGTTGGACATGTGAGCCATTAAGCACGTTTCCCAACACTACCCCTAATATTATAAATCTAGTGCCAACATCACACTTCCTTGCACCCATCTCTTCAGCATACACCCTGTGTATTTGAGACTCAAGTGAGAACATTACGAGGAGACTCAAGTTATCGATGCTGGGAAGCACTTTATTGTGTAATAATAGGGCCAACCACAAGCCTGATTCTTCCAGTAACTGAAGGACGCGGGACTTCACCAAATGATCAGATCAGGCTGAATCTGTACATCTCCCTTAGATACATTCATTGTTTATTTCTAGAAATAGTTATTTAGTTCTGTTAGGTACTAGCCCCAGATAGATAGCTAATAGATAATAGCCCCAGATAGATAATGGTATAGGTAATAGCCCCAGATAGATAATCTCTAGCTATGTCATATTCTATACTTCAAGCTTTCTCAGTTGTGATTCTTGTGTGGAGACACTACATGTCAGGTCCTAGCAGCCCTAGAACATTCTAACTGCTAAGTTTGGCCATAGAATTAAGCCTTTTCAAAGCTTCCCTGTTTAATTTTCTCTTTTTGGCACCCATCTCATGGTATCTCATGATATCTCATCCTCATACCTCCCTGAACAAAAATGTTCCACAATCCATTAGCCGGTTCAGGTCTAAAATCCCAAGATGGGCAGCAGAGGTCTAATTTATGTGCTGCTGAAATGAGCAGAGCAGATTTGGTTCTAAAGTGGCCTATTCTTGTGTCAGATGTACAGTAGCAATCCCAGGAGTCCAGAGGCCCCTGGCTCTAAGACATTTCACCTGTGTGATCTTGGGCAAGATGATCAATCCTACCAAGTCTCAGTTTATTCTTTTGCAAAGAAAAATGGTGAATGCTGTCCAGCTGACACTATTTTATTAGAATACAGTGAGAAGAAAGCATGGGAAAGCACCTGTTAACCATAATACACAATAAATCTATTATTACAAATAAAACTAAATATAAAATAAATTTTTTTCTCTCAATTATTATTTGGGTGATGCATAGCTTGGATTTTACACAGTGCCTGGTGAAGTACATTAAGCATGTGGTTACTGCACAATAAGAATGGTTTGATTCACTAGGAAATGAAAAGAAAGTTAAAATATTCTCTCATCTGTTACACAGACAGGACAAAGACCTGCTCAAACCTTTTTTCTAGGCCCGCAATAAAAACAGGGAAGTGGCTTCCTTTCGGCCGGAACCGCCATCTTCCAGTAATTCGCCAAAATGACCAACACAAAGGGAAAGAGGAGAGGTACCCGCTATCTGTTCTCTAGGCCTTTTAGAAAACATGGAGTTGTTCCTTTGGCCACATACATGCGAATCTATAAGAAAGGTGATATTGTGGACATCAAGGGAATGGGCACTGTTCAAAAAGGAATGCCCCACAAATGTTACCATGGCAAAACTGGAAGGGTCTACAATGTTACTCAGCATGCTGTTGGCATTGTTGTAAACAAGCAAGTTAAGGGCAAGATTCTTGCCAAGGGAATTAATGTCCACATTGAGCATATTAAACACTCAAAGAGCCGAGATAGCTTCCTGAAGCATGTGAAGGAAAATGATCAGAAAAAGAAGGAAGCCGAAGAGAAAGGTACTTGGGTCCAACTGAAGCTCCAGCCTGCCCCACCCAGAGAAGCACACTTTGTGAGAACCAATGGAAAGGAGCCTGAACTGCTGGAACCCATTCCCTATGAATTCATGGCATGATAACTGTAAAGAAAATAAAAGACCTCAGGATTGTAAAAAATAATTAATTAATTAATTAAAAAAATAAAATTGAAACAGGGAAGTGTCTCATTCTCTGATATGCAAACAAAAACGTGTATCTGTGTACGTGTATCTGTGTATGTAGGCACACAGACACAAATTACTAAAACACAGCAAAAATATGAAAATCTCTACATTTTACTAGTCAGGGCCTTTGGCAAAAACAAACAACCTATCTGACCCCTGATTTGGCCACCAGGGAAACATAGTCTGAGATGGATATTTGCAACCAGGAGGTTTATTGAGAAGTCCCTTGGGATCAACTCTGTAGGGAAGGAAAGGAAGTCAGAACGAATAGAAGCAAGTGTTGGATTGCAATGCCACCGTGAAGGAGTATTTTGCTGATTCTCCAGGGTCTTAGAGCTTGCAACGGCTCTTCTGGATTGTTCCACAGAGAAAAGAGGACCAGAATTCACACAATATAATCAACCATCATTGGATGCCTCTGGGACGAATCACTGAAATTGGGCCACATCTCTTCAAGGCAGTTTTCCAAGAGGAATTTAGCTTAGAACCATCCAGATCCAACACTCCCCCAAACCCAAAGAATTCTGTTTCAGTCATGAAAGGATAAAAGAGTATCTCTTAACAGAGACAAGTAAAGCCCCAGGAACAAGGAAGGCATGGATATTTGTTTCACAGAGCAAGTGCTGGGAAGAGCTCCTCTAGGATTCTAATGTAGTCTGGAAGTTTCAACTAATATTTATCATCTATCTCACTTTTATATAATAATTCTTGAGAGAGGGACTATTCCACTGTGATATCATTTGTCAAGACCATATACATTTAGTAAAACCATGCATATCTCAAACTCCCATAAACCCTCTTATAATGGGATTCATCATAATTCAGGGAACTGCCACTTATTTCTGATGAAAATTACCTGAATGTTTGAGAGACACTCCTTTTTCCTGAAAAATTTGCTGATTTTATTAATTTTCTCTAATTTTGCTAACTCCGATCGGCCATCTTCTTTGTCACCAATTACTTTCTGATCCAAAACTATATCTCAGGTTGTATTATGTCTAAGTGAGGCATATATATGGCTGAGGTGTGTTCAATGCAGCATTGATAGACAAGTAAAATGGCAAGGTCTATACTAGTGCATACAAAAGCCATGGTCTGTAATTATTGGCTGTTCCACAAATAAGGTGCAAGATTAAATACAGGATACACAGTTAAATTTCAATTTCACATAAACAACTAGTACTATTTTGGTATAATTGCATTCCAAACAGTGCATGTGGCACATTTATACTAATCAAGGAAAGTGACTTATTTGAAATAAAAATTTAACTGCCATCCTGTATTTTTATTTTCTAAATCTGTCAAACCTACCCACAAATGAATGACATTATGTCAGAAAGATAAAACTTTACTTTCTCTTCACCCTATCTATAGTGGTAGTATGGTATCTCAGCCTCAGAGCTGTTGAGATTTTTGGCCAGATAATTCTTGTTTGGGGGGTGCTATCCTATGCATCGTAGAATAAGTAGCAGTATTCCTGGTTTCTACCCCCTAGATGCCACTAGCATCCACCCAGTTGTGATAATCCAGAAATGTCTACAGATGTTGCCTACTTTCCCCTGGAAGCAAAACAGCCCCACTTAAGAACCATTTATCCAGATATAAGGATTAACAATATAACTGATTTAATCATCAGGATAATTCAGGCCAAATCCTTCTCTTTTAGTTAGATAATTGCAGCAAACAAACAAACAAACAGATGACACATGTGGAGATGTTTAAATTAGTTGCACTTTATTCAGTGTGGAACATAAGTTTCTAGCTAATCTATCTGCTGATACTTTGATTGCTTGAGAACAGACCATGAAAAAGCCTTCTGTTGTATGATCCTGTTTCAAAAGCTATTGACTCAATACTTAACTACCAGAGCAGTTTTGCTTCAAAATATTTAGTTTGACAGAAGATACTTATAGATACATGAGATGCATGCCCTTCACACTTCTATGCATACATGTGGTCTACTGAGATGTAAATTGACTCTTTTGTGACATTCATTTTGGCTTCAGCCATGTTAATACGTCCTTGGTAAGCTAATGTCCATTTTTTTTTTAAGATTTTATTTATTCATTCATGAGAGACACACAGAGAGAGGCAGAGACACAGGCAGAGCGAGAAGCAGGCTCCATGCAGGGAGCCCGAGGTGGGACTTGATCCTGGGACCCCAGGATCATGCCCTGGGCTGAAGGCGGTGCTAAACTGCTGAGCGACCTGGTCTGCCTGCTAATGTCCAATTTAAGAGATTGAAATAACAAGAATGTCTGCTGAGGTCTGTTTTAATTCTGTGAGAAAAACAGCTGGGGGATAAGGATAACTGATAGAAGCAAGGGATAAAATGGAGTTTGTTCCTATTCATGTTACCATCAAACAGGACCATGTAAACTCCAGGGCAGAGGCTTCATCTGTTCCCTTCTTTGCTCTATGTCCCAAACCTAGAACAATGGCTGGTTGATTGTGTTCAACAGTATGTCTACAATGAATGAATGAATGAATGTCAACAGATGGAACTGACATAATCATATATGATATTATTGATTAGGTACACTGTCCAATCAGAGATTATACATTGTTCAGAAGACATTATCTTGCTTACAAAGTTGTGTTCAGCAAAAGGAAACTAAAACTCCTAACAAGTTGATTAAGATCTTATTAGAATTACTATTATCATTCATTAAGACATAACATAGAGCTCTAATTTCAGCCAGCCAGACTAAGTTTGCTAAGTGTAACTTTTAGGATTAAGGTGTGTAAATAGATAAGACATAACAGATCCTATGCATTTATTCACTAGTAACTAAATTCCCTATGAAGATGTAAGGATAGAGAGGAAGGAAAAGAAAGAAAGGTAACTTAAGAATGAAGTTATTTATTTTATTTGAGGAGAAAAAATATGTACTTCATATTAAACATTGCAAAAAAAAAAAAAAAAGGAGTAAATTTTGCCTTAAAAATGCCTGGACAGAGTTCTGGGCATACTGCTCACTATTCTCCTAAAGCTGTTGGGAATTTTGGAGTGCCTAGCAATTTTGCATAATACAACAATTAGCTGTGGTTTAGCCTTAGATATATTAAAGGCAGTGATTTCTCAAATACTAATGTTAATGAGGTTGATGAAGCCAGTTTTATCATTTAAAAACATCTGCTGGGGCATGACTAACTGGAGAAAGAATAGTGATCAAATTTTCTGAAATGTCTACATATTTAAGATGAAGAAGCAATTACCCTATATAAATGTAAAATACATCTAGAGCACAATTTGTTTTTAATTTATTACTCAAAATTCAATACAAATATTCAGTCAAACATAAAAAATTAAATGCAAACAAATGGTTTTAAAATCCTGTCTGCTCTTCCATTTCCCCCTTTGCCTCCAAATTCGAACAGGCAATATATATTTTCCGGAGCAGAGGAGAGAGAGTCTTCATTAATGTCAAGGCACTAAATTTGTGGTTTTATTTTCAACCCAGCACTGCAAGATATTACCAACCTAGGGGAAAGGCAGTATGGTATGGAATTGGGCAAATCTGCTAGAGGTGCCATCTTGTGATAGACTCTTAAACTTTATGAGCCTCAATTTCCTTGTCTGTAAAACGGGAATAACATTGGCCTCTAAGATAAAATGTGATGATGTTTATAAACTATTTTTAAGACCACATTTGGCACATAGTAATATGACAGGAAGTTATTGTAATGTGGCTTTCTGAGCAGTTTCAATCCAGATACGAAAATAATCTTTTGGGTTTAAGTTAACACTTCTGGTATTGTGTAAGCCTTTACTGTTTGATGTATCAAGAAGTTTCCTGGTTTTTGTAGTTGTATGATAATGCAAATGTAAATTTAGAAATATACAAGGAGGGATCCCTGGGTGGTGCAGAGGTTTGGCGCCTGCCATTGGCCCAGGGCGCGATCTTGGAGACCCGGGATCGAATCCCACGTCGGGCTCCCGGTGCATGGAGCCTGCTTCTCCCTCTGCCTATGTCTCTGCCTCTCTCTCTCTCTCTCTCTCTCTCTCTCTCTGTCTGTGTGTGTGTGTGTGACTATCATAAATTTTTTTTAAAAAAAGAAATATACAAGGATTGATTTTGCTGTTTGTTGGACTATAAATCAGTTAAAGTCAATAAATTTAGTTCAAGATAGCAGGAATTTATGGAGCAAGCATCAAATGCCAAAAATTATAGTCAGGCCTATCTAAAAAAAAGATGAGCAAAAAGCCCTTGAACTCACAGTCTTAATGGTGAAACAACAACAATCATGGTACTTTGATGTGTAGAGCAATTTGTCCTTCTCTCTAGACCACAAAACCTAGACTCTGGGCTTTGCCTCTGCATACCCCAAAGGCACATTTGAGGGTGTACATGTGTGTATGTGTGTTTATACATGTGTGTGTGCTCTTTCATTTCTTTAATAAAGGAAGCTGCCTTTCCAAAGATGAACATCGTCTTCACTCCTAGAGCAACTGATGAAAATAGAGGCAGCTTTTAAAATATTAGTTCTTTCTCAGCCATATCCACAAATGCATTCATTTAATCGATGAGCATTTGTTGAGCACCTATTTGATATTCTGCTAAAAATTGGAAAATACGAAGATAAGTAAAATTGACATGACTCCACCCTTTAGGAGCTCAGACTCTACTAGGTCTATGAATATACGTTAGACAAACACACACATATATACAATAAAGTTATATACAATTATAGTTATAATCACACACAAGCCTTTCCTCCATGTTTATGGAAATTAACGTAAAGATTACTTTACCTCTTAGGACTTAAAATTTAAGGAAAAGGGAAGAAAAAAATAAAATGCACACACTCAGGGTATTTTTGTTACCTTCTCACGAGAAAGCATCCATTCACTTGTGCAGAAAGTATTTTTGTGGAGCTTATAATTTCTAGGCATTTTGTCAAGTACTGGTTATAAAGAGACAAAAAAGACCCTTTCCTTGGCTC